TACTAAAGAAGACCTTAAGCGAGCTAATAAAGGTAAACCTAATCCGCTTAAGTAGCTCCTTAGCCGCGGCCCTAGTACTCTTTACTTAAAAGTTAGATAGTCGCTTACGATTTTACTATAACTACTAAGCCTTAAACGTAATTATAAAGAGGGATAGGTACGCGCTACCCTTAATTATAAAGATACTATAGATACTTATAAAGGTAAAGTAGTTTATAAAGCTCGACGTTATAATAGCGTTTTATAAGATCTAAATAGTAAAGGGCTATAAGTTTAAGATAGCTTTTTAGATAAGGTTTAGATTATTTAAGTAGTAAGTATACCTATTTAGCTTAATAGGGACGCTAGCTACCTTCTAATAATATATTAATAAGGTACTAAGGGAATACCTATATAAGTTTATTATAGTATATATAGATAACGTCTTAATCTACTTATTAAGGTCTCTCTAAGACTACTAAGAGAAGGTAGTAAGGGTACTTTAAAAGCTATAAAAGGCGGGCTTAATATTAGACCTAAGGAAGTATAACTTTATAATAAAGGAGGTTAAGTACCTAGGCTTTATTATATAGGTAGGGGGTAAGGTTCGATATAACTTAGAGAAGATCTAAGTAATATAGATATAGCGGGCACCTTAGAATATAAGAGGAGTCTAGAGCTTCCTTAGCTTCGCGAACTACTACTAGGCCTTTATACTACTCTATATAGAGGCATTAGTATACTTAAATAGCTTTTATAAGAAGGGCGCGATCTTTAAGTAAATAAATAAGTACTAAGTAGCGTTTAAGTTTATCTAGAACGCTTTTTATAACGCCTTAGTACTATAACTCTATAACCTAGAAAGAGAAATATACTTAAAAGCGGACTATTTTAAATATATAATAGGGGGGGCGCTAATATAAGTAGGGCTAGACGGTATATAATACTTAGTAAGATTCTTCTTAAAGAGACTAAACCTAGTAAAGTATAATTACTTAATTTATAATAAGGAGATACTTATAATTATATAGTACTTAGACTTCTAGGAAGTAGAACTTTAGAATATACCTACCTTTATAGTACTAACTAACTATAATAACCTAAGGTACTTTATAATAAAGAAGAAGTTAAACGAAAGATAAAGCTAATAGGTAATAGAGCTTATATCCTATAACTTTATATTAAAGTTCCGGCTAAGGAGGCTAGCGGCTATGCCTAACGCGCTATCCTACTAAGAGTAGGATCGGCTAGTAGGCGAAATAGATAAAAGGGAGATAGGGCGGGTAGTCTAGATAATTCTAGAGACTATATACCCGCGGGGCCGCCTAGTCCCTACTAGGGGCCGATACGCCGACTTACTAGGACGCTTAGCCTAAGATAGGGCAGTAGTAGCAGCGCTATAGGTAGGTAAAGGAGGGGTAGGCGCGATAGCGTATATTAGCGGAGCGAGGGGGCCTATTAAACGACCTAAGAAGGAGGTAAATAAAGGCGATAACTAACTAAAACTCGACCTAAACTTAAGCTAAAATATACCCTAGGAATAAGCTAACCCTATACTAGTGTTTAACGACTAAGAGCTATAGAAGAAATAGATAGAAGCGTTAAGGAAAAATAAAGAATACTAAGCGGTATTTTAAGTAATATATAAAAGGGAGAGATCGCTAGTACTAAAATAGTAATTAAAGGTATAGCTAAGTAAATATATAATTAACGTTAAGAGATAGTTATACTTTTAAGAGAGGCTATAAGTACTAAGGAAACTAAAGTATAACGAAGGAGAGGGGGCTAAGGAATAAGATATACTTTAAGTATAAATAGCCTAACGGATATATAACTTAATAGTAGTAGGATACTTAGGGAGAGAGGGGACCCTAGTAATACTAGCCTAAGAATTCTTCTAGCCTAGCTAGTAGCGATAGTAAGGCGGCTTATCGCGAACTATAGACTATATAAGAGGGGGTATATATAGAGGTAACTTTAAAAGGGACTCTTAAAGCCCTTACTACCGCCGTCCTAACTATTTATATACTTATTAATAGACTTTATAGTCGAACTACTACTAACTAAGATAAAAGGCGCGAAGTACCTTTAAGTAATTATAGACCGGCTAATAAAAGTAGTAACGCTTAAAGTAATACTAATAATAAGGGTAGTAATATATATAATAAGGTTCCTTTAAGCTTACTTTTACTTTTATAGGATACTAAGATCGATTATATTAGATAGAAGGACGAACTAAATAGGAAGCTTTTAAAAGGAGTTCTATAAATAAATAGGATTTAAAAAGAAGTTAAGTTTAGTATACTACTTATAAATAAATAAGTTAACTAAGCGTATAAACTAAGAAGTATAAGTATACCTTTAAGTATATATTTACTATAGCTAGGACGACTAAGGAGTATAGCTACTATATATATAAGCCGTATTAAATAACCGCGTAGCGTTAATAATAAGCGTAAGCTTATTCTTCGCGATATATAGATATAATATCTAGCCGGTCTAAATAGTAAGGGAGGAGGGGCCGCTAGCGCTAGAAGTAAGGGGGGTAAGGGAGCTCGCTTAAAAGATAAGAGAGGTAACCGACTTCCTATAAACCGCTATTATCGCGGCGTAGGTAAGATAAAAAGAGATAGTAAACTAAAGGAGAGCCTTAGTAAAGAGGTTTAAAGTAAGCGATAAGGTATAAGTAGATATAGCTTGTAACGGGCTGAGCCCGTGAGGGTCTCGGCTCCGCTCTCGACAAGACCCACCGGAGCTCCGCTTATAAGCTCGTGCCATCTTCGAGAGCTTTCCTTTCTTTTCTTTTCTTCTTCTTTTCTCCTTAGCTTTAGGATACTCGTCGCAGTCGCTCAGCTAGTTGTCAACACACTCAGTTGAGACCGTTACATTATCCTAAAGCTCCTTTCATCGTTAAAGCCTTTGATCACAATCAATTGGCAGCGCTGTTCAGTTCCCTTTGTGGGTACGCGGAGTGGCAGTAGCTTGGGCAATCCTGTGTGGAACGCCCGCGACGAAAGTGCGTGTGTGTACGGCGCCAAAGCCAGCTTGGCTCGCGTCGCGTAGCTCTCATCTCCCGAGCAAAGGACGTGGAGCGTCAATCTGCTCTCCGTACGGCGTGCGGTTGAGCGAGAAGTACGTGATTGCTGCTTGGCTCCCAGTGTGGACGGCAGCAGCTGGACTAGAAGCCCTGTGCAGAACGTCCAGCCGTGTAGGAAGGAGCCTTCGAGGCGTTGATAGCGTTCGACCGTTGTCGAGATATCCCTTCCGTATCAGACTTGCTGTGTGATCAAGTCGCCCTCAGTCCTGAGAGACGAGGAGAAAATCTTCAGTCATGGAGGCAATCGATTCCCAGCAAGGTTCTTTTGAGCCTCAATCGATGATGCAAGCCCTGGCTGCAGTGATGGACAAACTAGAAAGTGTGTGTGCAAGCCAAGAGGCCGAACGCGAAGAGATGCGATCGCAGATCCGAATCCTCCAAACAGCCGTCTCAACTCCGACTCCGGCAAATGAACCAGTCGCTCCTATCGAACCGATGTCCGACAACACGCCTCAATCGATCGAGACATCCGAAAGAATCCCATCAAAGAGGGTAAAACCAACCTTGCCTGATCCGCCGAAATTCGATGGAACCAGGAAAAACTTCCGTCCCTGGTTCTTAGAGATGAAAGCGAAATTGGCTGTGGACCGACAGGCATTCGACAATAAAGAAGCACTCTTCGCCTATGTGTACTCCCGGTTGGCGGGAACAGCCCAGAACATGGCCGCTGCTTATTACGAACAGGGCGGTATCGATGGTGCTCGCTCCCCAGATCTGTTTCTCGACTACTTGAACCGTCGGTACGGGGACCCGAACGCAAAGGCACGAGCACTGGATCGACTTCGATCGTTGAAGCAGAAGCCTGATGAGAGTTTCGCCAGTTTCTTCCCAAAGTTCGAGAAAGAGCTTGCCGATAGTGGCGGTGGCGAGTGGGCCGACGTGGTGCAAATCAATTACTTGGAAGGAGCAATTAATAATAGGCTCAAGTCGAGTCTCGTCAGTGCCGTCAGTCTCCGAAGGATTTCAACAGCTACGCCGAGCTACTCTTGACGATTGGCTCGCGCCTAGATAGCCTCAATTTCCACCAACGACAACAAGGCCGCGAGCAGAGGTCAAGAAAGGAGTATGGTCGTTTATCCGAACCGCTCGAGTCCCGACAAAAGCCCCCGTCACCCGGATCGCCAACCACGTCGTCCCCCCCGTCCGATGATCAGATGGATTGGGAACCCGTGAAAGCAAATCGGTTGATAAACGGCAGGAGGGCCCCGGAGGAAAGCAATTTGTTCCGTTGGAGGAGCGCAAATGTTACGAGTGCGGGAAGCTTGGCCATCTTGCGGCCAAGTGTCCCGGGAAGGAGCGGCGGCAGCAGAGAGTCAAGGTCCGTGTCGAAGAGAAGACAAGAAGCTCGAGAGCAAAGCACCAAGAGCCCGCGGAGAGTTCTAGCGGGGATACCTCCGATGACCATTCGGAAAACGAGTAGCTCCTGACGAAAATCGCCGTCAGGAGCGCGCAAAGGCTGAGGCGGAATGGGCAACTCAGAAGGACGAGATGGACTGTGAAGGCCTCTACGTAAATTTCGGTATCAATCGAGTATTTCATCACGGCCTTCGTTGACTGTGGTTGCCTGTGTTATGGGACCATCAGTGAGCGCCTTGCCCGCAAGCTTCACCTGCCGCGTATTCCGATTAAACCTCGAACGTTGGAGCAGGTCAACACATTCTCACCCGAGGCCATCTGTGCCGTGACCTACTTCGACTTCGATATCGACGGGTACCAGAAGAAAAGAGCTTTTTTCTACGTTGTGCGAGACCAGACCGACCCTGTGATTCTGGGCAAGAAGTGGTTGAACCAGGAGGATGTCACCTTGCGATTATCGCAGAACCTCTTGCATATCGGGACGCACGACCATTGGGTGAAAGGCCGAGACCCGAAGGAGGAGGAACGGTGCAACATACGAGGACAGGCGGCGTTCGTGTTCGCCGGAATGGTTCGCCGAGCAAGAAAGTTCAAGCATCGAGACGATGGAGTGCGGATCTTCGCCGCAAGCCTGAAAGACATTGAGAAGGCATTGACTCCGAGGAAGAAGTCAGACCCGAGGGGACCATTGTACGGCATGTCACGAGAAGAGCTCATTGTTCTGCGAAAGACTCTCACTGAGCTACTCGACAAGGGTTTCATTCGAGCAAGTAGTTCTCCAGCGTCAGCACCAGTTTTGTTCGTGAGGAAGCCCGGTGGTGGTCTGCGCTTTTGCGTGGACTATCGAGGATTGAATGCGATCACCAAGAAAGACCGATATCCCTTGCCGTTGATCGAGGAAACTTTGCGGTCGCTGTCCAAGCCCAAGTGGCTCACCAAACTTGACGTTATCGCAGCATTTCACAAGATTCGCGTCGAGGAGGGAGACGAGTGGAAGACAGCATTCAGAACACGTTACGGACTCTACGAATGGCTTGTCACGCCGTTCGGGTTGACGGGTGCTCCGCAACGTTTCAGCGTTACATAAACCACACGTTGCGAGATTTCCTCGACGAGTTCTGTTCCGCTTACATTGACGACATCTTGATCTACTCGAGCGGTTCGCTCGCAGATCATCGCAACAAAGTCAGGCAGGTCCTTGCTCGACTGCGAGATGCAGGCCTGCAGATTGATATCGACAAGTGTGACTTTGAGGCAAAGAGTGTCAAGTACCTGGGCTTCATCGTCGAAGCCGGGAAAGGTATCCGCGTGGACCCGGAGAAGGTGCAGGCAATTCAGCAGTGGCAGCGACCCCGTTCTGTCAAAGGCGTCAGAAGTTTTCTGGGGTTTGCCAACTATTACCGGCAATTCATTCCCAGATTCTCCAACATCGCCGCGCCTCTAACGGCGTTAACAAAGAAGGATGCGGTGTTTGCGTGGTCGAAGGAGTGCGACAAGGCCTTCGAGGAGTTGAAGGCTCTTCTGACCAGTGCGCCGGTCCTTGCGCAATGGGATCCGGATAGAGAGACGATTGTGGAGACGGATTCATCCGGTTATGTCACAGGAGGGCGCTCTCGCAAAGGGCGATGACGGCATCATGCGGCCTGTGGCCTTCTTCTCAAGAAAAACGCACCGGCGGAGTGCAACTACCCAATCCACGATAAAGAGCTGCTGGCGATCATTCGCTGCCTTGAGCATTGGGACGCCGAATTGAGGAGTGTGAAGTCCTTTACCGTTTTGACGGATCATCTCAACCTCCGTTACTTCACCAAGAAGCAGCAACTGAGTGAACGTCAGGCGCGATGGGCTGAGACGCTATCGCGGTACAGCTTCACCATCAAGCATCGACCGGGCAAAGAAGCCGTCGTACCGGACACGCTGTCGCGACGAGAACAGGACATGCCGCACAGCGCCGAAGATGATCGGTTGCAAGGACGACGTGTTCAGCTGCTGCAACGTAACAAGGGTGGCCTGGTGACAAAAGTCAAGAGCGGTTATGTCACCAAGGGCGACACGGATCAACCCGATGACGCAACAACTGACCAAGACGACTCAATCGAAAACCCTTTCTCGGACCCGGAACTGCAGAAGTTATGGGACGAAGGTGTCAAGCACAATCGTTATTGGCTCATCCAGGCCGTACAGCAAGGCGAGAGGCGTCTGCCGTCGCATTGGGGACTGCCCGTGATGCTCTCGGAATGCTCGATTGACGATGGACAGCGGCTCTGCTGGCGAGAGCGAATTTGGGTGCCGAACCACGAACCCCTGCGCACGCGGCTTATGCAGGAGACGCATGACTCAACGCTTGCAGGACACCCCGGACGGGACATGCTGAAGTCCTTGTTGAGCCGCAAGTTTTATTGGCCAGGCCTCGATTCAGACGTGCGTCAATTTGTGAGAAATTGTGATGTGTGGCCGAAGCAACATTTGGCGAGAGAAGCGTCGCGGTTTATTGAAGCCGCTACCTATTCCAGACAGGATCTGGTCGGAGCTGTCAATTGACTTTGTGACAGACCTGCCACCAACCAAGTCGAACGGTTCGACCAACCTTATGGTCGTGACGGACAGACTGTCCAAAAGTGTCGTTCTTGAGTCATTGAAGGACATCACGGCCGAGACGACGGCCAGAGCATTGCTACGGAACGTGGTGCAACACCATGGCGTGCCGCGCGCGATCGTCACTGACCGTGGCACGCAATTCACCAGTAGACTATGGCAGAGGCTCTGCGAGCTGCTACGCGTGAAGCAAAGATTGTCTACGGCGTGGCATCCCGAGACTGACGGTGCAACAGAAAGGGCGAATCAGGAAGTCGAGAGATATCTGAGGATCTTTGCTGCTTATGCTCAGGATAACTGGGAAGAGCTGTTGCCAGCGGCCATGATGGCCATCAACAATCACAACTCGACGTCGACAGGCCTGAGCCGTTCTTTATCACGCATGGGTATCATGTTGACCCGATACAAGTCAAGGAGAAGTTACGGACGGACGGAAGGTCCCCAGTGGCCAGGGCTGAAAGCATTGTGCAACGATTTCGAGAGGCAACGGAATGGGCCCAGGCGGCAATTGCGTCAGCGCAAGAGCAGCAAGAGAAGAACGCCAATTCGCGAAGACAGCCGTCAGACCAGTTCAAGCCTGGAGACAAGGTATGGCTGCGACTTCGCAACATCCGATCCAATCGGCCATCCAAGAAGCTCGATTGGCTGTCGGCCAAGTACACCGTCCTGGAGACCATTGGGTCACACGCGTGCAGGCTGGACACGCCTCCGGGAATACACAACGTGTTCCACGTGTCGCTCTTACGCTTAGCAGCGGACGATCCGCTACCGTCACAGACGTCGGATGACTACCGCCCACCGGCCATTTTGACGGACGATGGCGAGCTGTGGGAAGTGGAAGAGATTCTGGACAGGAAGAAAGTCGGGAGAGAGTGGAAAGTGTTGGTGAAATGGGTCGGATGGATAGGTCCGACGTGGGAGCCAGTCAAGTACGTCGCAGACACAATAGCACTGGCTAGGTATGAAGAAGTTCATGGGAAAGTTGGATCGAAACCACCCCAATCGAAACGATCGAAACGGGGGGGGGGAGGGGGGGGGTTATTGTAACGGGCTGAGCCCGTGAGGGTCTCGGCTCCGCTCTCGACAAGACCCACCGGAGCTCCGCTTATAAGCTCGTGCCATCTTCGAGAGCTTTCCTTTCTTTTCTTTTCTTCTTCTTTTCTCCTTAGCTTTAGGATACTCGTCGCAGTCGCTCAGCTAGTTGTCAACACACTCAGTTGAGACCGTTACATAGCTAAATATATAACTAACCGGCTATATAGGAAGCTTAACTAGCTATACTAAAAGTATACTATAATAAAGGTAGTAAGCTTATATATAGTAAAGCTCGATATACTAAGGAGGGTATATAAGAGGCTCTATATAGAATTTCTCCGCTAGGCGGTAGAGAACCTATTACCTAGATAGGTAGTCGACGACTACTAACCGCTACTAGTAATTAAGGAGGACGATAAGCTTAAGTATATTATTAAAGAGATCTAGTAAGCGCGGTAGAAGTAGAGGGGGAGGAGTAGATAGCGATAGGTACTCGTAAAATAGTAAGGGTATATAAACCTATCGTAGTACCTACTAAACGACTTCTAAGAGATAGAAGCCTTAAAGGGATTCGAGAGATAGTAGGGAAATATAAGGGAGAACGACGGAGGAGGGGTAAGAGAAAGGGATAAAGAGGAGGGCGGAAGATAAAGAAGGGGAAATAAAGGACGGAAGGAGGAGAAAGAGAAGGAGGTAAGAAACGTAAGCGGACGCGTTAACTAGCGTAAAGGCGGCAGAGTATAGTCGCCCGGCGTACTAGGAGGCGGGGTACCGCTACGCGGAGTAGAGAAGCTAGCGGGCGTATAAGGGCCTATAGTAGTTATAATATAGCGCGGCGCGGTAATAGAAGTTAAGTAAAGTAGGGGCGCGCGCGCGGAGGGAGTAAAGCTTAAAGGAGGAAAAAGAAAGGAAAAGGGAGAGAGGATAAAAGAAAGGTATTTATATACGGCGGGGCACGTATATAGTTAATAAGGTATAGGGGTATATATATAGAAGAGGGAAGGATAGGGTAAAATAGGCGTATAAAAGGGCGGTATATAGAGGGATAGGGCGAGCGTAAGGTAGAAGGAAGCGACCGCGCGCGCTAAGAAAAAGGGGATAGCGATAATAGAAAGGCAGTAAGAAAGGAATAGGAGCGCTACTAATAAGAGGGGGAGAGTAAGGGTAGTATTACGGGCTACGCTAATAAAAGGCTAAGGTTATACTATAGCGACCGTACTAAGGTCGGGCTAAAGTAGACCTATATATAGGTAGAGCTCGACCTAAACTTAAGCTAAATAGCACCTAAATATAGGTCGAGCTAAGGATTAAGAAAGATAGATAACCGTCGCGACTAAGATAAAGTTTTCCTTCTTTCTCCTTAGCTTTAGATAAATAATTATTCGGCCCTATACTACTATACTAAGTATATACTAGCCCTTAATAGTCGCTAGTATTAAGGGTAGTAGGGCTAATAATAAAAGCTTAGGGTTTTTTAGTATTAGCTTATTACTTTTCCTTTACTACTAATAAAGGTATTATCTAATTATTTATTTCCTAGTAAGTTTATTACTTTATTAAGTCCTTAACTCTAGCTATTAAGATAGTTACTACTTTAATTATTAAATCCCTAGATTTTATTTTTTCTAAATAATACTATTATTCTTTAGGCATTCTTAGCTTTATAAAGCTACTTATCGCTATATAAATAAAACGGAATAATAAGTTTACGCTTTAGAAACTAGTTTTAATAAGGATAAAAGTATATACTTATAGTATATATAGTATATAGCTAAGTATTAATAAAGTAATTAACTATATAATTATTTAATTATCGGTCCTATATATAGCTTTAAGGGTCTTAGGTTATTAATATAAGTCTTAGAGATTTCTTTACTTTATACCTCTTTACCTTTAATAAAGTCGCGTAACTAGCGGCCTTTACTTTAAAAGGGAAAAAAAAAATTTTAAATTAACTATAATTAAAGAAGATACTTTATTAAATAATTAAGGTCTTTATAAAGCCTTTAAGTATACTTAAAAGTAAGTTAGATAAAGAGTACTAAGGGTTTTATTCCTTTAATAGGTTAATATCTATAAAGGTATAATCTTACCTATTAAAGTACTAAGCTACTTACTCTTATTAACCTATATAATAAAAAAGAGGTTAAAAGGGCCTTAGCTAGCTAAGGCTAAAAAGGGCCCCTTATAATAAAAAGGCTATTATTAATAGCCTAGCTCTTATAATAGCCTTTCTTATTAGTAAGGGACTTTAACTTATACTACCTTTATTAAAACCTTTTTATAAAACCCTTTAAGGCCTATAAAGTAAAAGCCCTTATTAGCTAGCTTAACTACTATAAAGCTTCCTTATTAATAAACCTTAAGGTAGCTATAAAAAGCACTTATTAAAGGAAAGGCTTAAAAGAGGCCTTAGTTATAGACCTTACTTTTTATAGCCCTTTTAAGTAGTTAACCTAAGCTAACTTTTACTTCCTAAAGGCTATAGGCTTAGACTATAAGCCTATAGCCTTTAAAGCTAGCTTTAAGGGCCTTAATAGGCCCTTACTAGCTAGGCTAACTACTTATAATTATAGGAAAGTAAACTAAAAGGTCTTTTTAAAATACTTAGCTAAAAAAGAATAAGACCTCCTTATAGCTATAAAGAGAGCTAAAAAAAGAGATAACTTAAAAGAGATAGCTTTTATTTTAATAAGAACCTTTATAAAGGCCTTAAATATAGCGATACTAAAAAAGAGGCCCTATAAAAGATCTAAGCCTTAATAGATTAATAAGCTAACCTTTTTTTATAAAGCCCTAAGCTTAGCCTAATAAGCTTATAAGCTAGCTTAAGATAAGGAGAGCTAAAAGAGCTTTATAAAGGCCTATAATAGCTATAAGTATATTATTAAAGCTACTAAAAAGTAATACTAATAGAGCTTCTTAATAAAAGTAATAAGAAAAGATATCTTTATAGCTTTTTCTTATACTAAAGCTAAAGCTAACCTTACCCTCCTTAGTATTTTATATATAAAAGAAGGGATAGAGGTAAAAGCTAATACTTTTATAGAAAAATATAAGGCCTTCTTAACGACCTTCTTTTTAACCTTAGACCTTAGCCTTAGCCCCCTTAGCCCTTCCTAGCCCCCCTTAAAGCTTAGAAAAAGAAAGGGTTCTAAGCTATATAAGTAGTAAGGGTATAGCTAAGTAGGACTAGCTAAAGCTAAAGGACCCTAAGATTAAGAGGGCTATTTTTAGCTCTTTTAATAATAAAGCCCTTAGCTTAAACTTCCTTAGCTTCCTTCTTATTTAATATATATATAAAGCTATCCTTATAGTCTTTAATAGGGCCTATAAAGCCCTATTTAACTAAAGATACTACCTTAAGGTATAAAAAGAAGCTATAAGAATTATACTCTTTAAGTAAAATAAGTAAGACTATACTATCCCTAAGGCCTATAAGGTTATAAGTCTACTTAACTATTTAAGGTCCTTAAAAAGGTATATACTACCTAGCTAAGCTATTTAGCTAATATAGCTAGGCTTTTAAACCTTATATAGCTAAGGGGACGAAAATAATAGTTAGCTATTAATATAGCCTTCCTTCTTTTATATTATATCTAAAAGAAATAGGAACTTAATAAGAAGGCTATTACTAAGACCTTCTTATTAAATATAAAGGGCGTCTTTAACTTTATATTAAAGAAATACCTTATAAGGATCCTAAGGGAATTAAACCTCCCTAAGGCCCTTATAAGCTAGGTAGACTACTTTCTTATAAAAAGGAAGATCTAGCTAGCCTTTAAAGGGTAAGTCTAGCCCTTTATAAACCTAGTAATAAGGGTACCCTAAGGGTCCCTTATTAGCCTTATTTTATTCCTTTTATATATAAGAGTAATACTAGTAGTAAAAAGGTACTAGCTATCTTATATAAATAACTTTAATATCTTTATAATATTAACCTTAGCTAAGAAGAACGTTTAGTAGCTAGAAACTATAGCTATTAATATATTTAAATAAGCTAAGGACTAAGGGGTCTACTTTAACCCTTATAAGATATAACTTATTTACTTTAGTAGGTAAAGGCAGCTTATTTTAAAGGGTATAATAATAAGAGGCCTATTTTTCTAGGTAAAGCCCTTAGTATAGTAGCTAGGGGTCTTCTTTAATTCTAAGCTCCTATTTAAATAATATATTAAAAAGATAGTAGCTTTTATATAAGCTACTTTTAAAGAGCTATCTTACTTAACCTTTATATAAAGAGGCCTATTATTTAAAGCCTTTAAGTAGCTCTATTAAGCTAACGTAACCTTTATAGTAAACTATAAAGCCTAACTTTAGTATAAGGGGCCTATAACCCCTAAGACCCTTATAAAGCCTCTTTAAAGGCTTTTAAACTAAGCTCTTTAAAAGGTCTTAAGGGCTTTTAAAAGATCCCTTATTAAAGCTTTAAAAGCTAAAGTAGCCCTACTACTACTAAAGGTATAATTTAAAAGAGTATACCTCTCCTACGCTCTTTAAACCTTATACTTCTTACCTAGTTACCTTATAAGGCAAGCTTATAACCTAGCTATATAAGATAACCTTACTAACTTAAGCTTTAACTTAAGAGCCTTAAGCTATATTAAGCTTTATATATAGCTATTTTACTTCCTTAAAGGCTTAGTAGCTATTATAAGGCTTAATTATAACTTAAAAAGAAGGAAAGCTAGCTAAGAGCCCTTATAGGCCTTAAAGCCTAAGGCCTTTATTAAGATAATAAAGGCCCTTAAGCCCTTAGCTAAGAAGTAGTACTAACGCCTCTTAGCTAGCCTAGCTAACTTAAAAGACTTTAAGCTATAGCCCTTAGCCTTTTATACTAATAGCTTTAAGGGGTGCCTTAATAGGTCCCTTATAAAAACTAACGCTTACTTCTTTTATAAAATAAGCTTAGAAAATAGGCCTATTAAAGTATACTATAAGAACCTAGGGCCCTTAATTAAAGTAGCTAATATAAAGCTATTTATAATATTAAAGGTCTTAAAGGACTTAACTAAGAGGCCCTAGCCTTAAAAGCTTAGCCCCCTTAACCCTTCTATAAAGGCCTATATCTTTATAGATAGCTAAACCGCTATAAGGAAGGTTATAGGTTTCTTAAACCTAGCTATATATATTAAAAGGCTCCTTTTTAGCTTAGAAGCCTTTTATAATATATAGCTATATTAGTACCTTAGCTACCTAGGGGTTTTTAGTAATAAGCTAGCTAACTAGCTAGCTAAGAGGGGTTTAAGGGTCCCTACTTAAGGGACCCCTTTAGTCTTTATTAGCTACTTATAAAGAAAGGTCTAGTAAGCTACTAAGAACTATTAAAAGGGCCTTTAAGCCGCCGAGGTAGCTAAAGGCCTTAGGGCTAAGGGCCTAGGTAAGTACTATATATCTATTTAAAAGACCCCCCGCTTAGCCTTTAGCCTAGATAAGGACCTTATAAGGAGGCCTAAGCCGTCCCTTTTAGCCTTTTACTAGCTCCTTTTTAGGGCTAGCTTCTTATTTTCCTTCCTAAAAAAGACTAATAAGGTAGACTAGGACGACTCCCGTTATAGCTAAGGAAGGTATATAGCTAGGTACCTTATCCTAAGGTACCTAAACTATAGGAGGGAAAGAGAGGACCTTTACTAGACCTTTAAGAGATCGAAGGGGGCCCTTAGCCTACCTTATTTCTATAGCTCTAAGAAAGGAAGGGAAGCCCTTCTAACCTTCTTAGCTAAGATAGAGATAGGAACGGCTAAGTAGCTTAAAAAGGAGTAACCTAGGGGCCCTAGGGCCCTTAAGGGGAAAAACACCGCGCGGGAGGAGCTAGACTAACCTTTCCTTTATCTTTGCCTTTATAGCTACCCCTTCCCTAAATAGTTATAAGCCCCGGGGCTCTATAGCTAGCTAGGACTACTAATAAGGGCCTAGGCCCCTATTAGCCTCGCTATAGCCCTAAAGGCTATATACGAGTAATAAAAAAAACCTATTTTATAGCGGCTAATATATAGGCATATAGCCTATTATTAGGTTGCCGGTAAAAGAGTAGCAGAAGCCCTAGATAATAGGACAACTTAACTAATTTATGTTTAAATTACGATAAGAGAAATGTTCCCCGGGTAGGCATGTCCGATGACAGCTCGTCCCCCAGCAAAAGAGCTCCCAAGCGCTGAAAAACATGACAGGGACCTTCTAATGTGGCCCTGGGCATGTCTTGGGACCCGATTAGGAGATACATATAATTCCATCCTCGTCCTTGCATGCCGCCAATGGAGCCGAGGGGAATTAGCGCCATGTGATATTTAGATAGGATATGTCTCAAAAGTAAACAAAAGTTTGAAACAGAAATACTCCCCACTGATCCCACTTTGTCCGAATGAGACCGGGCACCGTCGCTAATCCGCGAGAGTGCTTGCAGGTCCAGTGCAGCAAGCATAGATTGTGTCAAGGCCCTCGTCGTGATTTCTTCCACCCCCCTTTGAGAGATATACACGACTTCTTCAATAACGAGGTGCCCGGTGTGTGCAACTTGTCGAAAAAGCTTCCTTCGAGGAGGAAGCAGCTGCCGGACCAAGGTCAACATACCGGCATCTTCGTCAACGGCCCATTTCCTCCCGTTCACGGAAGCATTCCCAGAGCGATAAAATGCTTGCATCTCGGCGGGAACTCGATTATGAAGCTCGACCATGAATGCATCCATGACTTTATCAGCATCCGCCTTGTAGTCAACAGGGACCGTGACACCACCTATGGCCCCCATGATGCCATAAACGCGATCGTGCTGCCGTGTGCTTTTCCGATGATTCGAGGCCAGAAGCAGCTCCGAAGCATTCATGTTCGCCAGCTTGTGCAAAGAGATGACGTTGACAGCGTCCAGCGCTTGGAAAACCAAAGAAACGTCCCCCTCGCACATGTCCCAAGCTTCGGGCTTGTCGAGAATTCCTTGTGGTAGACCACGGCCGGGGAGAAAGAGGAAGTAAAGGATGTCATGGATTTGTGACAATGTCCGTGTTAGATGCCTAATTGTCAAGGGATTTCCGGTCTCTCGGTGGCGGAGGGGAATCCCCAACTTGCCATAGAAGACGGCATCCGGACGAAGAGCAGCCTCTTGCAATGTCCACAGAGAAGTTGTCCAGGGGACTAAAAGGGGAAACTCTGCAACCAAAGCCAAGCGCCGGCGAGCTTCGGCAATGTTTTCCGGCTTGTTAAGTGCCAAGGCGTCTGGAGGAATCATGTGTACCTCTTCGGGGACAGAGGAACAGATGTCAATAAAAGCTTCGTCCCCTCCAGAGCAGAGCCAGACAGCTGCACGTGATGCCGACTTAAATATATGGCTTTGCTTTCCGATCTCGATGGCCTTTTCCGGATCGGAGTCTTCCTGGGGAATGCAAAGGACGTCTACCCACATGTTTGTGTTGCCGGCAACGTTTCGCATCGCACTGTCGAGGTCTGCTCGCGAAAATAGCTTGTTTGCAGGGACCATCCAGTGACCGCCTTGGACGGGAGAATCCAGCTCTCTAGTACGGTGTTTCCATCGACCCCAGGTATACGAGACTACGACGTACTCCGGGCAGGGACTGCTTGTCAAAAATGTAACACCATCTGTCCCAACAAGACGAGCCGGAAAGTTTGCTGGGCCCGTCGGACCAGTCAAGCCATCTCTGTACGCTGTCTCGAAATTGCCCCCTAAAGGACTGGTGTGGTCTTGTAAATTTCGATGCGAGAAGACCTTATCCGCCCGAAATCCCAGCTCTTCGAAGTCGGACACGGAGCTTGTCGAGGAATGCTCTATGTGGGCCTATAAGACTCCAGCCAAGTGCGGTTAGCTAGGGCTATTCCTCGAAGGCGGAGGGAGACACGGAGTCCTCACCAGGTTTGCCGGCATTGTCTAGAAGCCTTAACAACATAGATGCTGCTACACGGTTGAGCAGGAGCTGCTGACCCCAGTACTGAGAGAGACGGAATATGATAAACTAATAACGACCAGGCCGACTGGTTGATCCGGAAGCCTCTTAAAGGGGGCCGACGTTGAACATCATGGCTGTCGATGTCTTATCCCCACAACAGGAGCTTGCCTTGGTGATGTTCTTCCTGGGCAGACCAAGTTAGTCGTGTGCTCCCCTCGCCGGCCTCTTGAACGTAACTGCAGCGCCTCTTTTGCGTCACCTCATCTGCAGTGATTGCGTGGTTTGCGACCAATCGTGACCGAACACGAGCCTCGTGCGACAGATCCGCCCGTCAAAGCGGCTCGGTTCGGCTATGTTTGCGTCCTTTATGCAGTTCGCCCAACTGCTTAGTGTGTTACCACACTCTTTCACGTTCTTGTACTTGATATATCATGTCACACCGCACCCTATGCCGTTGAATTTGGTCCTCTATCCGCATAGTCTCCCTACTTATACCTGTGGCATTTAAAGTGGTTAGCCCATTGTTGCATATGCCCCTTTTTATGTATCCCCTTGATGCACTTGACCGACACAATGGCTGAGAGCTCTCTTTTCGCTGCTTTCGGCGCTGTCCTCGGTTACATTGGCTCCGAAGTAGCTACCAAACGATGCCTGGAACAACTTCTTTGGCCACAGAGACACTACTCAAACTTCACACTTGGCTCATTCCTGATGCTTGCGTTCTTCATGCCCATGGGCGGGCCTCTGTTCAAGCCGGCGTTGGAGGCACTTGATACAATCTTTTCCCATGGACTATTCAGGGGCTCAAGCCAAGGCCATATGCTAGGCACCGTCTTCTTTCCTCAGCTCAGTTGGAGCTACACGATGCACGAACATGGAGATCAGAGCCAGTCACGTACTGGCAACATACGCAACTGTCTATGGGTTCGCACCCTGGCTTATATCAATATCCCTCGCCTACATTGCTGTTCGCAATCAGCATCTAGCGACGACTTGGAGAAGGGACGTGTTTGCCATGACCTCGCATCGCCACCGGTGAGGGCTCGAACGGCCTTCAGTCATCTCACGCTGGCAAGGCCGACAACAAAGGAGATGTCATCACTCGACATTCCCTTTGTCAAGGAGGACCCCGGGCGTCCGGGCCCGCGAGTATTCCTTGCTATTTGCGCAGCTGAGACGTCTGCCATTCTATGTGCTGTCGGTGTTTCTGTCGCATTCCGTTCCCCTTGGTGCGTCTTGTGGCTCGCGCCTCTCATTCTACGTCTCACAAGCGCCTTGTTTGCACTACACCGAGAACCTCTCATTTCGACGTCGTCCTCCACTGGTGACGACCCGGCGCGCGACTTTGAGATTCATTGCCCCCAGGCGGAAGGTAGCTTTATGATCATCACTGGCCCTCCTGCCTTGGTGCTACAGTTCGTTCGTCACTACGGCCATCCCATACGCAGTCGAACCCGCGAGGCCTTTCAGTACTTTGCCATTGTTGTTTTCGCTTGTCAGTTTCCATTTGGACTTTTCTGCTCGGTTGTTTGGATGCCTATCAAAGTCCAGTACGTATGGGTGTCCTACCAGCTCTACGTGGTTTTGGCCGCACACGTAGTTCGATATTCGAGTCTGGGACGCTCCACGACAACAGAGGCCAAGCTTACACAGTGTTTGGGTCAAGCAACGGCCGCCCTGTTCGGACATAAGAGGGGCAGCTCCAATACAATCAAAGCCAGCGTCGTGGCCACGTATCATGATAGATATAGTCTAGGTAGAGCCGCGGCGGACCAGCTGCTACGCCGTCACGAACTACGGCAGGATCAGGCTATTAATACGCCCGAGGCCCTGTCTATAGATGACCTCAACCAGTAACCGCTTAGAAGGTTTGCTAAATTATATTATCTCTTAAGACTTTTTTTTCTTATAAAGTATAAGGAAAAGTGTTTTCCTATTATAAATAAAGTAGCTAGAATATACTCTCCTAATTATATATACTAATAGTAGTATATTAATTATAAAAGAAATCCTATCCTATAAAGTAAGAAACGCTTATTATTTTCTATATTATTTTAATTAATTAGGTTTATTCTCGTAAAGAGAGATATAAGAAGTATATATAAAATATATAAAGGTAAAATTAAAAGTAAAGGGTCGGATAGGTAGGGCAAAGTTATTTAATTCTTATAGGGGCAGTAATTACGGTAGGGTATTATAGAGTAAGCAGAGGCGTATACGTAAGTACCGCCTATAGGATAATATTAATAAGCTATATAAAGCTCTTTTATACGCGGCTAGCCCGCCCCTATACTTATAGGATCCGGCCCTCTATACGTAACTATATAGCTTAGGCCGCGGCCTAAGCCTATTACCTATAATAGTTAAAGACTCTTATATAATGCCCTCTCTTAAGCGCGGCGTAGCGCTGCCCTATTAACGGCTCCTATATAATTAGGCCCGTACTATAGGCTCTTCCCTACCCTTTCCCGTTAATAGGGCCGGCCCTACTAGCCTTATTATCCCCGCGCCTATTAGCCTAGGTAGCTAGGACCTAGCTCTATACTTATCGGCCGGCTAGCCGTTTAAATAGGGGCATAACCTATTATATACGCCCCTAGGTAGCCGGCGGCTAGTCTAGACCTACGTAAGCCTTAGGTTACCTATCCCCTCTACCTTAGGCAATATCCTCTACTAAGGGGTATATAAAGCGGCATCCCCCCCTTCTCCCTTCCTTTCCTTCTCTCCTTTCTTTAACCGTAGTAGTAGTATTAATAGGTAAGTTCCGCTTTACCTAAGGTATTAGTCCGTTCTTAGCTATATAGGCCGCTCTATTAACGTATACTTATAGTAGTAATAATAGTAATAATAATAGCCCTAATAATAATAATAACTTTAACTAATAAGTTCCGCGCCCTATAGAGCGGGAGGCTATATTCTATCGTACTAACTTCCGCGATAGATATATCTGCCTCTCCCTCTCCTACCTCCTCCTTCTCGGAGTATATAGAGTCGTTCGTCGACGCCGTGCTAGCCGCGGCCGACGACGACTCCGCCGCTACCGCCGCTCCTACCCGCGCCGCTGCCACCGCTCCTACCGCCGCCGCCGCCGCCTCTACTACGCTATTCGCTCTTATATCGCCCCTTAGGGTAACGACGCTATCCCCGCCGCTACCTATAACGCCTAGCCCCTCGGCCCCCGCCTCTATCTCCGCTACCCTTATAAGTCTATAGTTAGGTAAGCGTAATAGATATTATCCGCTAACCTCCTATAGTATAAGCGCTAAGTATAGGCCGGCGCCGCTTACTTAGCCCCCTATATATATTATATATTATAAGAGCTCGACTACTCCGACTAGGCTAGGCGCCGCCGCGGCGGCAACTACTACTAGTACGCGCGAGCCGGCCGCGCCTATAAGGCGGCGCCTCCTATCCTACTTACTATAGCGTTAGCTTAGAAGGCTAGCTCGTATAGGTAAGCGCGGGGGGCTACTAAGAAGCGCCTTACCGCCGCCGCCGCCGCTTACCGTAACCTTTACGCCTTTGAGTAATAGGGCCTTATACCTAAGTAAGTCCTACTCTTTCGCTCCTTTATTTCCGCCTTTAACGTACCTAGTACTAAGGATACTACCTCTATCGCTTTATTAGCGGTCCCCTTAGCTATGCCCGCCTCTACTACCGCCGCTACCCCTACTACTACCGCTAGCCGCCGCCCCTCTACCCTTAAAGCTACCGCTGCCGCCGACTAGCTTATAGGTTTAGAGGGCCGCCTTAGCGCCTTAGAGACCGCCGCCGCCGTTAATAAGAAAGAGGAGGCTAATAAGGACGATAATAATAAAGATAATAATAATAATAATAATAATAATAAGGAATAGGCCTAGGTAGTTTAAGGGCTTTACTTTATAATAAACGCTATTTTTATCTCTACCTATACTATTACGCTTATATTACCTATATTACTATAACTACCCCCTTTATTATACCTACTTTATAGTCTTAGCCTAGGCCGCTATTAATAGTCTATTAGTCTATTATTTCTATTTATTAGTCTATATAAGGCCTTAAACTTATCGAGGGCTATAGCTCCTATAAACTTATATATAGGTTCCTATATAGGGTTAAGGTACCTACGCTACTTAATAAGAACCTCCTAGCGTTTCCCTTAGCCTACCTTTTTTTAGTATATAGCCTATATCTCTTTAACCTTAAATTTATTATCCCCCTTTACCTTAAATATAAGCGGTTAAGCGTCCGCTACTTCTTATCTAGGTAGCGGGTTAAAGGAGGCTTAGTAAAGGAGGTTAACGTTAACCTTATTATAGACCCCTATTAAGAGACTATCGAGCTTAACTACCTATAGGCTAACGACCCTCTATACTATAAACTTTATATATAGTTAGTCTAACTTCTTCTTTAGTCGCGCTAACTTATAGTTATAGAGGTTAAGCTATACTTTATCTCTTACTATAAACCTATCCGCTAGCGCCTTAGTCTTATTAGCGTATTACTCTTAATCCTACGCTATAGCGGCTATCGCGGATTAGTAGTATTTTATAGTTTCTTATAGCTTCTATATAAATATAAAAGCATAGCTCTCTAGTAATATACTACTATACTACTCTACTACTATATCCGCGGTAAATAGGATTAGGGAGGGCGGCTTAAAGCTATATATTACGAAGAAGGGGGCTATCTTAATAAAGGTTTACGGTCTACTATTTAGCGCGAGCTAAGTAGCGGGGAGCTAGTAGTTTTAGTTTACTTAGTTATAGGCTATAACTACCTATAGGTACGCTTACGCTTCTTAGTTAACCCTCTTAGGTCCCTTATTAGTCTATAGGTAGTAAGCTATACTAAGTAGCTATATAATCTAAAGTAGCTAGTATAAGTACTATTAAAAGCGGCTAGTTTAGTTTAACCCTTTATTACTTATAATAAAGGCTAGCTAGCTATATAAGTAGGCCTAGTATTAAAGGAAGCGCTCTACGTAGGCTTCTATATCTATAGATAGTATTAGCTTTAGTACTACTAATTTACTAAGTCGGTCCTTAATTACCTATATATAGCGGTTGCCGCCCTCCGTAAGTAGAAGGTCTATTATAAAGTCTATCTATATATATATATAAAACCGGTCTAGTATTAAAAGCTACTTTAGTAGCCCCTTAAGCTATGCCCTCTAGATCTTTATATAGCCGTAGATATTATAGTTATAAAGGAAGTAACGAACGTAATACTATAGGAGGGGCTAGTAAAAGTCCCTCGTAAGGCCTACTACTATACCTTATCTACTTAGGTAACCTATAACGCTAGAGTTATAGATAAGTTAGACTAGCCTCCCTTAGAGCTCGTTCTATTTATCTAGCTCTAGTAGTCCCTCCTTCTCCTTAGCTTCTATAGTATATAGTACGCCCGGTACCTATAGTCTCCCTTACTAGCGTAGATGCCTTTATAGGTCGATATAGTAGTTAGCTACCTATACCTTTAGCTTTAGCTTTAGATCTAAGTATTAAGCGCTAGACTTAATAGCACGGCGTACGCCCTCGTAGGTACGGTCTAGAGCCGTTATCCTATCCTATAAGCGTTAAAGGGCCTTATCTTAGAATACTCTTACCGCGCGCGCCCCTAGGCCGGTCTATCCCTCCTCGCTAGGCTAAGGTAAGGGCGTAAGGGGAAGCTTATTCGCTAGTACCGCGCCTTCCTTTACTAGGGAAGCTCTTATATAAGTCTAGAGTACTTCTTATAGGATAAGCTATAGATCCTAGGCCTCGATATCTGCCCCTATTAGCTGGTCTTAATCCCTCTAAGAAAGCGAGTTTAGGACCGCGGAGTCCTACCTAAGGCGGTACTTAATCGAGAAATTAAAGTATAAAAGATACTCCGCTTAGTAGGCTTATTGCTTTAAGAGGTACTAGCGAGTTATAAAGTACTTAAGGTTCTTATAGTCTATAAGAACCTTAAAGCTCTTATAGCTCTAGAGCTCCGCTTACTATTACTTAAGGTAGCTAATAATCGCTAGTATCTCTTTATCGTAAATAGCGTAATTCCGCTTTACTAAGGTTAGCTTATAGGAGTAGAACGCTATTAGTTACTTTTACTTATTTACCTTTTAAAAGAGCGTTCCTTTAAGTGCTTAGCCGCTATAGTCTACTTCGACTAATATAGACTAGTCGAAGTCCTATTAAAGTAGTACTAGAGCTTAAGAGAATAGGTCCTTAAGCGTATAGAACGCTCCTTCCTATATAGGCCCCTAGTAAAAAGCGGTCTACTTCTTAGTAATCTTATTTAAGGGTATTATAATATAGGAGAAGCCCTTAATAAATATCCTATAATAGTTCGCGAACTTAAGGAAGCTCTATACGCTTATTTACGTAGTTAGGGTAGCTTAGTCCTAAATCGCCTAGATCTTTATAAGATCTACTTATATACCTACGCCTATATAAATAATAAAGCCTAGGTACTTAACCCTCTTAACCTTAAATTTATACTTATCTAGGTTAAGGTAGAGCCTATAAAGTTAAAGGCGCTCTAGGACCCTTTATACTTTCTATATATAGTCCTTATAGGAGCTGCTTATATAGATAAGGATATTATCTATATATATAGAGGCGAACTTATTAAGGAAGTCTTAAAGTATATTATTAATATAACGCTAAAAAGTAGCGGGCGCTCCTAAGAGGCTAAAGGGCGTTATAAGCTACTTAAATAAGCTATAGCGCGTATAGAACGCTGTCTTTTACTTATTACCCTTTAAGATCTATACCTTATAAAACGCCTATTTTATATCTAGCTTTATAAACTACTTTACCTTTAAAAGGTTATAGAGCGTATCTAAGATTAAGGGTAAGGGGTAGCAGTCTAGCTATATAATTACGTTTAGA